TTTCATCGGCTGATGGTGTGGATATGGAAGAAATACTATCACGACGTTGCTGTTCTTTGTTTGGAGTTTCAGGTGATTGACCCAATTTAATAGCAACTTTTGTAAGAAATTCAAAAGGTTTTAATAATGCATTTATCAAAATTCTCGCTGAAGGATAATTGAGATCAACCTCTGAAAGTGCATCTGTTAAAGTATTTACAAAGTTTTTATCCAACATTATTTTAGCTATACTAGCAGGACCATCGTCAATTGGTTTATTGGCGGTAGAATTAGGACCGGTACGTGAATTCAATATAGCATAGCATAACTCCGCCAAAGACAATAGTCTCCCGTATTTTGTTTCAATTGGATCAGATGAAGAAATTGCTGTTTTAAATGATTTAATTATACAATCCAAAACAAATTTTCGCACTTGTATGATTTCTGGTTGAGGCTTTTTTTCATCGATTTCACTGCTAACATTAGAACATAACGCCACAAGAGCAGATGTAGTCCATTTAGATTGTCCATAACGCTTTCGCATTTCGATATCAGTCGACGGTGTTATACAACCGTATGGTAATAACTCATTCAAGAGGTAATATAATAAAGAAATCTTTGATTTTGATTGAGTACCGGTTCCCATACTGTTTCTGCGGCGCGAAAGGTTCACAACTTCAATTTTACATGAAGGGTATGAAGATAAAAGTTCAGTCAAGCATTGAAGTAAAAAGCATCGATACAAATAATCTAAATGCTCTTCAGGTTTGAATGTAGATTGGGAAGTACTTGTACTATTTGTAGAAGAAGTTGTTGTTACAAAAGAATTAATATTTTCATTTCGGTCACTTGAATTGGTTTCACATTGTTTTGGGTCTAAAGTTGTCTGATTAGCCTGCAAGCGCGTTGTGACCAACTCATTTGCGATAAATTGAACGAGGATTTCAGCTGTTTCAGAGCCGAATGAAATTTTTTTAGGAGATCCAAGTGAAACAGATGTCGATGGTACCGGTAATACGTCTGCCATCTCGTCTTCGTTGATAGTTGTATCATTAGCAGTGATGGTAATAGTGTCTTCAGTCTCTGGTTTAATCAACATTATTTGCTGATTACGTCCACTAGAATCGTATCTCGATAATTTGCAAAGTTTTTTAGTGGATCGAATAAATATTTCTGGAGCTCGTAAAGCAAATTGTGCGTTGTTTCGCAAATATGCACTAATGTCACCCCCCCGTGGACGTGGATTATTGAACCAGCTTTTTATTTCTTTATCAATAATTGACTCTAAAGCTGAAGCATCTTCAAGGGCGTGCCGTAATATCATAACAATGAATACTTGTTGTCCGCGGAAGTCATGGGCCCTTGACTTAAATGCATTAAAAAGTAGATTCAGACCATCCTTGTTTACAAATTCAACAGCGTCAGAATAACGACGAGTAAGACGAACCACTATCCTAAGTAATGCATTCATAATATCTTTATCTAAGTCTTTTCTTCTCAATAACGATAAACAATATTCAAGAAGCTGTAATCGCAACTGATCCGTAAGGAAATTCAACTCATTAGAAGAAACATTAATGTCTTTTGATTCCTCAGGTTTTGTTACTAATTCAACACTAACTGGCTCTTCTGATAAAGATATAAAAGCCTCAATAACTAGTAAAGCAGGTGCAATCCATTTAGGTAAAGGACTCTCTAAAGGTAGTCTTGCCTCTTCAGAAATCATAGATATCATTTCGGGGAATATTTTGAAAGGTAAATTTGGAATTTTTATTTGTATACTATTCTCGTTTAATAAGAGAGCTAAAAGACGCAAACGAGAATTAAGTGCCTTTTTGCGCTGTTCGTCTGAATGACCGCGAGCTGATTCAATACTTATTATTATTAATTCAATGTTCTTTTCAGCATCATCCTTGCTAAGAAGTACAAATAAGTCTTTCACTTCAAAAATAATGTCTTCAACTTCATCTAGAAGTTCAATTGCACGGGATGCCGATGTAGACCTAAGTTCTTCTCTAAGAGCTTTGAAACTATCTATATAATCAACTTCTTTCCCTTTACCTTTGTCGGGTTTTGTTGACGTGGTTTCAGTGTCCATAGGAATTGAACCCTCGCTCGCAGTAGCACCTTCTACAGGGGTTTGATTTCCTTGCATTGATAAAGCAAGTGCTTGTGCCAATTCATTAGAACCATCTTCTTCATTATCAGATACGTCGTCATCGTCATCTCCAGATGTACCAGTCACGTCAATTGTAGATCCCGCATCAGTGGGAGCATTATCTCTTATCGGGGTGGTATCAGACGGATTTCGACTAGCTTCAGAGGATGGAGCCGCTGAAAAGACTGTGGCAGCAATAGTTTGAGGATGTGTTAACAGATAGTCTGTAGCAGTTTGAACGTGATTGTTACAACGTATTAGTGCAGTTTCGGCTGACGAACGCGAGAAGCCCATATCAATCAATTGCTGAACTCGTTCTTCATCTGGTACCAAAGATCTAGTAGCACCAAATAGTGTAGAGGAAGGTGCTGTTAATCCACTTGATGATCCTGATCCCTCAGGGCGTTGATTAACTTCTCCATCTGCCTTTAAAATTTGAACTAAGTTTTGAAGAACAGATCGAACAATATTTGGAGGAGCTCTTGGGAGATAGGCACTTTGCCAAAGTTCATTCGTTACAGGAAGAATCTTTGCTCGAACGGTCACGAGAAAATCAAAAGAATCGAAGGGTTCAATGCGTGGATCTCTATCTTTAGTAATTAACGGTACAGTTTGAGGTGACTCATGCAATAATTTAGATGATGCAACAAATTGGAAAAAATTGAGGGTAACATCAATGCATCCATGAATTCGTGAAAGCTTTTCTTTAGATCCATCATCAACTTCAATTGTAGAATATTCTTCAAGGGCTTTAATTCCTTCAGCCTCATCCCAAAACTGTCTTAAAAGTTTAAATACAACTTACAAGCCTTCAACACGATTAAATGAAACAACAAGCATTGTTTGAAGTGAAACTTGACTTCGTTCTGAAAAGAGAGAAAAAAAAATTACTTTGCGGTAAAAAACAACAATTACTAATAATGTGACATCAATTTACCATCCAGGAAAAGTAAAGATAATAATCCAAGCATAATAGTAAGATAACTATACTTATTTGTAGAATCTGTTTCGCTATCAATTCCTGATAATAAAGTCAAAGTGAGAAATATGCGCATATAATAAATTCAAGACAATAATAAAGTACCATATCGAGGCCAAGTTAAATGATCACGGAGAACTTCAGCAATGGCGTCTGAAATTTTGAAAGCTTGCTTTTTTTGGGAAGCATCAGGAGACTTTCGACTAAATAACATTTTTGCTAAACCTACATGCAAACAAAGTTTATCAAAATAAATGTCTAGAATAAATTCTGCATTGCAATAAAATATTATTCAATTAATTTTACCCTGGAATAAAGGAGTAAGACAAGAAGGAATCTGTGAGACCAAAAATTTTAAACATTTGGCGTTTTTTACTTTGCGATCATTTTGGTCAACTGGTGGTTCATTTGAGTCCGCAGTCTCTTTATCTGTGTCGTCTAATAACACTGACGTTAAACTTGACGTTGATTCAGGGAAATGCGAAGGCTTCTTTGTTTTTGATGGGAGGTTATACCAAGACTTTGGAACAGAAGATTTCAAAACAACATTTTCCCAAACACAAACTCTATAAAAAAATATATTGTTAATATTAAGATGACAGTCTTATAGTCAACTTTTAATATAAAGATTATGAAATCTACCGATGAAGTTTTCCAAGAGTTGGTAATACATCATTGTCATTTCCAATAAACGCTTCAATTACTGAAGATGCGCTTTTACTGTGTGAAAATACTGGCGTACAATATACATCTGAAAGCAATCCAACATATCCATGAAGAGTTATTAAGGTCCTAAATGTATTATTTGCTTCTTCAATTTTGGTTACATCATTTGCTATTAAGAAATAAAATATTTAATTTATATATATTTCGGTTGCATTTAAACATTTAAATATAATATTACCTTTTAAATCAACATATTCCGAGAGAATTCCTTTTCCTTCATATGACAGAAAATTTGTTGCTCCCTGAAGCGTTTCATTGAGTGCACCAACAATTGCAGAAATGCTTCTTTTTGAATCAACATCTGCAATGACTCTCATTAAATGTGAGAGAGAATATGATGCTTGGGAACAACCAAATTCATAAGGCAAAACTGGTAACGCGTAAAACTTTAAAATTATGTTGAGTCCATGTTCCTGTTTTAAAAATTCTTTACAATGATTTTGTGTTTGAAATAGACTTTCCAAAAACTAAATAAATAATATTGCACATAAGTAAAAATTATAAAAGAAAATCTAATAACCTGAAATAAAATACATGCCCGTGCCGCAATTTCAATGAACGCTACAACTGTATTCTCTTTTTTATCATCCGATTTGAGACTTTCTGAATCAACCATTTTTGTATCAATTGATTCCTCTCCTACCAAACTGTCCGAATGAATGACTTGGTCATCATCACTGCCAGCGTGCAGTATACTTGTATTGTCTTTAATTGACGAGCTATGACCAAGCTCAATAATGCGTTGAAGAGTGGACATAATTGCGTTCATGATACTTTGCTTTAAGCTTGGATGATGTCGCATCAGTTCATCGATTGAATTTCCCAAACTTGATGCAACATCTCCGTCTTGAAGCGATCGTAGATGTTCGTTTGATGTAAAAATGGTAAAGAATTTGTCTATTGGATTCATCTCGTTAAAAATATCAATTCCTTGCGAATTTAAGCAAATAGCACCAAATGCATTCGGAATCGATTGAATTACCTATAAAATTTAAAAGATTAGTATATTTCTTGTTTGTTACAACTGTAATTTGAATTTGTTTAACTCACATCAGCTGAAGCAGGGATTTCTTTAGAAATAGAGCTTAAAAATGTCTGCGGAAGTTTAGCCTCTTGCATAATCGGAAGCGAAGTAGGCTCATTATGTATAAATGTAGCAATCAAAGTGATGGCTATATAATATATATATATATATTACGTTAATAATAATAAATACAATAGCATCTTTCAAGAAAAAATTAAATATATACCAAGTGCATATATGCTGCTACCAAATACATTTGGCTGTTCAAAGACTTTTTTTAAAGAATCTGGTAGTGAAGTATCTATAAGATTGCGCAAGCCATCTGCAGTACCAGATGCTTGCATCATATGTAAAACGAATTTAAACATTGATTTTAGCAACGACGCTCGTTCATACGGAAGGGAGACTTCATTTTCAATAACGTTAGGAGGAATCTCTCCGACTAAAATTGATGAAAATTAGTTGCAAACATATAAAATATCACTGAGACGCTAACTTTAACTAGAATACCTTCTGAAGATGGAACAGCAGATGTAGACGTGCTTGCAATTGTAATACCCTCCATTTGGTCACCTCGAGCATCCTTGGAAAGCTGTATGCCATTATCAACTTCTTCCTGATAAGTTGCAATATAAACATAATTAATAAATTTAATACAACGTTAAGATCTCCAACATTTACAACCTACCTTAATTCTATCGACTAATATACGAACGCCGTTCGCATTACAAAATGAAGTAAACGACGTGTTGAACCCATAGACAAGGCTATCCAAGATACCAACTGCTTTTGTGACATTCTATTAAATTTGTATGAAAATTTTAGATAAAGATCGGTTATAGTTGTTAAACCCAATTAAAGCCTTACTTTTAATTGGTGTGAATTCTTGTTGTTAAGTAACTGTAAAAGTGTTGGAACGATTCCGGCAGATATAACCATCGTACCACCGGTTTGTGTAGTAATGACGTAAGATATTAATGCAAAAAGTGCATCGTAATATTCCTGAGGATATATGGCTAACAAAAATAGCATCTTAATGTTAACAATCCAAATAATCAACATTCATATAATAATAAAATACTAACGATTATCGCGCTCTAGGTCCGCTATAACCCGTCGTAAGACATAAAGGAGGATGCCATGATTTGCAGAGGCATTTATAGCTGTTAAAACTTCGCCAAGCTTCGATCGATATCTACTAATTCCATCCAAAGCGTAAAGTGCAACGGTCTGAATATCCTATAAGGTTGTCATCAATGTATGTTAACACATATCGAGAAATTGAGGAATAAATAAAAAGCAAACATACAAATGGCACATTTCGATCGGGATGAACTAGCTTTGCAAGGTTTGCAACAATGTCAGGTTCATATAGGAACAGTTTTGATTGGGCGACGTGTTCGGGGATAACATGAGCTAAAAGTAAAACAAATAATAAATAAAAGGTTCAAATCGTAATCATATTTGTTTATTGGTAACACAGTCATATATAAAACTAGCAATAATATATACCCATAATTGCAACAGCAAGTAATCTTATTATTAAAAGTCTTCGCCTGGCCTCAGTCAATGGAATACTGGTGACAATTCGAATTCGATTCAGAAGGGCAAAGTGAAATTCTTCAGGAATATTATAATCCTGAACAACATTATTTAAAATGTTCATGTCTGTTTCTCCCAGTTGACGAACGTTGTTAATAGAAATTAAAGTAACACCCTCTCCGGTTTTGGTTCCACCCGAACTTGATGCACTATCTTTTCTTTGATTTTTTTGAGACTGAGTAGAAGGAATGACATCACTTTTCTTGTCCACAGTAGTTTCAGCAGCTTCTGATGGAGTTAGATGCCGGTAAAACTGATAATTTAAAGTAGTCAACTCTTCTGGAATAGTTACATCATCAGATGCAAGTTGCTCCATTTCAAGATCGTATTCTTTTGTCCCCCAACTGTGAGCCAAAGTTAAAATGCGCTCAGGAGAAATAGTAAAATTGGTGCGAAGTGCTCGCTGATTACTGAGTCGTTGAGCAGGTCGAAGAATCAAGCGCAACAAAACCTCTAAAACATCCAAATCGCTTGTATATAACAAGTCATTGAGATGCTAGTTGAAAAAATTGGAATGTATCGTAAGAATAGCCTTAATATAGTTTTGAACCTCGTTAACCGAAATTACGCTCACTTCAATTAGCATACCTCATAAGAACTGTACAAATTTCTATTCGTGCAGTTTTCCAATAATACTCGCGAAAATTTCAATATTGCAACTAGTACGATACGAACTCCCTCTGAGAATTTTGATGTCTGTAACTTCTTCAAATTATAATTTTTACAGATATTTTCGAGCATTGTATCAAACCGATTCAGAACGCCGATCCAATGAAAGAGATCTCCCCGTGGATAGCTCCAGTCAATAGCAGACTCGACTATCCCTGGTATTTCTTCTTCGCGACATTCGTTAAGTTTTTGTATAAGATTTTTGATCGGTGGTATCTATATAATTCATTAAAGATAAAATATGAAGTAGCTGTCAATATATTTTCAATAAATAAATGTTTCATTGATTAATTCATTTATAAGATATCCTTCAATATCTGACATGCTATAAGAGTGTTATAAGTATATCAGCAACATAAACTGTGCGTTGT